GGAACATGGAGAGGTGAAGGGCGTGGAGGGGAGGTGGAAAGGTGGAGGAGAGTGGAGAGGTGGAGGGGCCGTGGAGGGGAGAGTAGAAGAGTGGAGGGGTTGGAGGGTAGGTTGAAATGTGGAGGGCGTGGAGGGGAGGTGGAAGGGGTGGAAGGAAGGTGGGGTGGAGGCGTGGGGGGGAGGTGGAAGGGTGGAGGAGAGTGGAGAGGGTGGAGGGCGTGAAAGGTAGGCAGAGGGTGGAGGAAAGGGTGTGGAGGGTTGGAGGGTAAGTTGAAATGTGGAGGGCGTGGAGGGGAGGTAGAAGGGTGGAGGTAAGGGTGGAGGGGTTGGAGGGTAGGTTAATATGTGGAAGGGAGGAGGGGAGGCAGAAGGGTGGATAAAATGGTGGAAGGTAGGTGGAGAGGTGGAGGAAGTGAGGTAGAAGGGTGGAGGAAGGAGTGGAAGGTAGGTGGAGAAGTGGAGGGCGCGGAGACAGAGACAGACAGACAGACAGACAAGCACACAGGCACACAGGCACACAGACACAGAGACAGAGAGATAGAGGGGGGCAGAAAGAGAGAAATAGAGAAAGAGAGAGAGAGTCAAAGACAGACAAAGAAAGAAATACAGAGAGAGCCACAAAGACAGATAGACGGAGACAGCGACATAAAGACAGACAGACACAGCGAAAGGAGAGAAGTAGAGAGAGCCCGAATGCAAATACATATTTATACATCTGTCTCACAATGGTTGAACACGAATCCCACTGTTTTTATGCGTGCGTTTGGTCTGTGCATCAATGTGTTTGTATGAGAGCGTGTATGCTTGTGTGTGTGAGTCGCTGTATATTTTTTATCATTGTGTTTATATCTACTAACGTTTCTTCTTTGCAAGTTTGTTCAGTAAACTTTCTCTCATCCTATTTTTCATGTCTGTCTGTTGTTCCTCCTTTCGTAATAAAATAAATCGAATTAAGAATAGAAACAATAAAAAATGTAACACCGATGAAAACAATATTTGTTGTTAAACTGAAAAAAATATTTTAGAAAAAAAAATCAAGAGAATGTAATATGAAAACCGTATTATATAAGCTTTATACATTAACAACGTACTGCGGCGTGTTGTAAAATATATAGCATTATATTGCATTATATCGTTGTTGATATCATCATATTGTTATCTTCATTATTATTATTATTATTATTATTATTATTATTATTATTATTATTATTATCATTATTGTTATTATTATCATTGTTATTATTATCAATATTGTGGTTAGCATGATTTTTTACATTATTAGCATTCCTTTTGCTATTATTACTGTTATTATTATTATCATTATCATTATCATTACTATCATTATTATTATCATTATTTTTGTAATTATCATTATCCTCATTATTTTTATTGTTATTTGTATTTTTATGCTCATTGTTATTATTGTTATCATTATTATTATATTTTTCCTTCTTTTTATCATTATTGTTATCTTTACCATTATTCTTATCATTACTACTACAATCACTGTTATTATCATTTTCATTGCTATTTTCACTATCATCATCATTATTGTTATTTCTATTACTGCCATTAATAATATTATCATTAATTTTATTACATTTTTTTATCAATAGTATTAATATCTTCGTTTTTATTGTTATAGTCATCATCATAACAGTTATTACAACTCCTTTAGGCAAGAACACCGTTACCAAATAACATATACTGAAAATACAGTAAGATACCTTGTTAACACTGCATCAATTTTATCACATTTGCAGTACCAACATATTAGATAAACAGTCTATTTGTATGCTAATATTATTATGTCGGTATAATGCATTAACAGGCTATCATCATTACCATGCTATTACATTGTATTAAGTGTGGCAAAGAGAGAGAGAGAAAAAAATAAAAGTGTGATATCATTCGAGACAATTAAGTGATGCAATGACGCCAAGGATTAACATACTAACACAGAGTCATGATTGCAAAATAAGCTTGGTTGGGTTGATTGGCTGGTAAAGGTGGTGGTAGGAATGGCTGTGGTGGCGGTGGTGGTTGTGGTAGTTGTGGACGTGACTGTTGTGGTAGCAATGGATGTGGTGGTTGTGGTAGTCGTAGTGACTTTCGTGGTAGCAATGGTCATGGTGGTGGTGGTTGTGGTAGTTATGGTAGTGGCTGTCGTGGTAGCAATGGTTGTGGTGGTTGTGGTAGTGAGTGTTGTGGTAGCAATGGTTGTGGTAGTGGTAGTGACTTTCGTGGTAGCAATGGTCATGTTGATAGTGGTTGTGGTAGTGATTCTAGTGGTAATATTGGTTGTGGTAGTTGTGGAAGTGACTGTCATGGTAGCAATGGTTGTAGTAGCGGAAGTGGCTGTCGTGGTAACAATGGTTGTGGTAGTGATGGTAGTGGTAGTGACTCTAGTGGTAGCAATGGCTGTGGTGGTTGTGGTAGTGAAGTGGTAGCAATGGTTGCAGTAGTGGCAATCGTGATAGTTGTGGTAGCAATTGTTGCACTGGTGGTAGTATGGTAGTGACAGCAGTAGTCACGATAGCTGCAGTGGTGCTGTTAATGATGATAATGGTTGTATGGTGGTGATATAAGTGATGGAAAAGGCATCAATAGCGGTAGTGATGACAATGACAATCATGGCACACGCTATAATATCAGGATTAAAGACAAGAGTTATAGCAGCAAAGTAGAAACAATACTATTACCATGAATGTAATTGACACTAATACCTCCGCACTGATCGAAAGTAAATAGCTATAGTGGTTAAAAAAAGAAGAAGAAAAACTGATAAAAGGATGATAGTGAATGAGAGAGAGAGAGAGAGAGAGAGAGAGAGAGAGAGAGAGAGAGAGAGAGAGAGAGAGAGAGAGAGAGAGAGAGAGAGAGAGAGAGAGAGAGAGAGAGAGAGAGAGAGAGAGAGAGAGAGAGATGAGAGAGAGAGAGAAAGAAAGATAGAGAGAAAGAAAGAGAAAGAGAAAGAGAAAGAAAGAAAGAAAGAAAAAGAAAGAAAGAGAAAGAGAGATAGACAGAGAAAGAGAGAGAGAGAGAGTATTGGTACTTGGTATCTTGAGCGATGGTATCAGGGGAGGCGGCTGCTGCAGGGGGTACCCAGGAGAGAAGCGAACCGGGGGGACCTAACTCGCCAGCCTTGGGTACTTCCGGTCTGGGCAGGAGGGCAAGGAGGAGGAGGAGGATGGAGGGGGAGGGAGGAGGAGGAGGAGGAGGATGGGGGGGGCGAGAGGAGGAGGAGGATGGGGGAGTAAGATAGGGGGAGGAGGATGAGGACGATAGGGGGGGGGGAGGAGGAGGAGGATGGGGGGATGGAGGAGGAGGATAGGGGGGAGGAAGAGGAGAAGGATGGAGGGGAAAGGAGAAGGAGGATGGGGAAAGGAGGAGAAGGATTGGGGGGGTGAGGGGGATTGGGAGATAGATGAGGAGGGGGAGGAAAAGGATGGGAGGATGAGGCGGAGGAGGATGGGGGCAAGGAGGAGGAGGTTGGGGGGGAGGAGCAGGAGCAGGATGGATGGAGGAGGAGGATTGGGGGAAGAGGAGGAGAATGGAGGGGAGGAGGAGAAGCAGGATGGGGAGAAGAGGAGGAGAAGGGGGATGAGGGAGGAGGAGTAAGGGAAGGGAAGGATGGGGCAGGAGGTGGATGGGGAAGGGGAGGGGGAAAGGAAGATCAAGGCGAGTAGTAAAAGTAGCAAGAGGAGAAGGAGAAAAAGAAGGAGAAGGAGGAAGAAGAGGAGGACGAAGAGGAAGGGGAATGGAGGAAGGGGATTAATAGGATAGGGAGGAGGAGGAAGAGGAGGAGAAGGACGAAGAGGAGGAGGAAGGAAGTCGGAGGAGGAGAAGGAAGAGCAGGAGATGAAGGAGGAAAAAGAGGGGCTTGAGAATGGGGAGGTGTGAGGGAATGTAGATGGAGAAGGAGGGATAATTAAAGAAAGGGGAGGAGAGAAGACTATGAGGATAAAGAGTAGTAGAAGTAGTAGAAGGAGGATAAGGAAGAGGGAGAACATGAGAAGAGGGAAGGAAGAGAAAAAAGAAGGAGGAGGATTAACTCGAGGAGGAGGAGAAAAAGGAGACGAACAGAAGGAAGAACAGAAGCAGGAAGAAGAAGCCGAGAAAACCGGGAAAGAGGAGGAGAAGCAGATATTAGAGAAGAGGAGAAAAATCAGATAAAGGGGAAGAGCAAAAGAAGCAGATAAAAGGGAATAAGAGGAAAATCAAATAAAGGGGAAGAGGAGGAACAGGAGAAACTATGATAACCAAAAGAAGGAAGAGAAGAGATTACCTTTTTATTCTATTTTTTGTCGAGTCATTATTATCGTCCAGGTGGAGACCCCCGGAGGCCCTAGGGGGTGGAAGGAGTCAGAAGGGCAAGGGAGAAGGGGGGGGGGGTAAGGAGGACAGGGAGGGACAAGGGGGGAAAGAGGAGGAAGGGGAGAGGGAAGAGGGAAGGGAGATATGGACAAGGCGGGGATAGGGGGGAGGGGGAAAGTGACGAGGTGGGGGAAGGAAGAGAGGAAGGGGGAAGGGGGAAATGGACAAAGGGGAAGGTAAGGGGGGAGAGGAGGGGTATCTGGGGGTAGGGAAGGGGAGGGGGAAGGGGGAAATGGACAAGGTGGAGGGACAAGGGGGAGGGACGGGGAAAGTGGAAGAGGGGGGAGGGGAAGGGGGAGATGACCAAGGGGGAGAGGCATGGGGGAGAGGGAGGAGGGAAGGGTAAAGGGAAATGGCCAAGGGGGGGCGGCATGGGGGGGGGAGGGGACAAAGGGGGAGGTGGAAGGGACAAGAGGGGCAGAGGGAGGAGGAAGGGAGAAGAGGACGGTGGAAGGGAAAGGGACAAGGTGGGGGGGGGGGAAGGGTGGAAGCAGCTGGTCTAGACGGGGAGTGGCCATGGAAAGGTGGAAGATTGGCAGGTGGAAGAAAAAGACGTGGAAATGTGGATACCTTGATATAACGATGATATGAAATTCTAAACATGACGTGGAGCAGAACAGGGG